CAGACGCAGACACGCGCGCGCAGGCAGACGCAGACACGCGCGCGCAGGCAGACGCAGACACGCGCGCGCAGGCAGACGCAGACACGCGCGCGCAGGCAGACACACAATCGCAAACTGGGCAATCTAGCAACACAAGGTAGCCTGACTGCCTGTTTCTCGTGGGAGGAAACTGGAGTATCTGGATGAAACCCAGACAAACACGGGCACCCAGGAAGACCCCCTAACTTTTATGATGAGGTAACATGAGTGGTTGCGCACATGCAGAGTGGTCTTCGAGGCCTTGGTGGTCTGTTCGTCATGCGTGGACAACGTGGGAAAAGCCTCCCTGGCGACAGACGTCCAGCAGCTCGGCGGCCGTCTGGTCAGCAGCTGGAGCCAAGACTGCAGTCACCTGGTCATGCCGACCGTCAAAGTCACCGTCAAGGTACACACCGAGTACAGCATCTGCAGTAATGCTGTTTACTCACATGTAAACCAACGTGGTTACTACTCAACTGCACTGTGTTGTCTTGTCCTGTAAAGTGCACTTGTGTACTCCTGCGTCGCGGCCCTGCGTCTTATTTCTTCTTGGGACTTTAACCTCCTGCCTTATTGTCACATGTCCACTTGCCACCATCTGCTGTCAAGAGTTGCCTTAACGTTCGCTGACCATCTCTGTTCGTGCTTCGCAGACAATCTGCGCCCTGCTGTGCTGCCGGCCGATAGTGAAGCCAGACTTCTTCTCCGAACTCAGGAAGGCGGCACGGCAGACGCAGGCTCTGCCCAAAGCGGAAAGGTGAGCCGGCTCTCGGCCTTATCTGCCGGCAGCATTCTCCCTCATTTCTGAAAGGCGGAGAAGGTCACTTTCTTGTCTTTTTGTGGCTGCAGTTTCCTTCCTGAGATAGACGAGCCGACCTTGGAAAAGAAGAATGTGGACCTTCATTCAGTGGCAATGCGTAAATGCCTCTTTGAGGGAAAAACGTTTATTTTCCTTAATGCCAAACAAGTAAGAATCAGTGCACGTTCTGCTTGTTGATATTTCTTGGTGGAGTCTCTTAGCTCCTTCATCGTGAGTCTAACAGCATAATTTATTTTTTCCTTCTCATGATGTAACTTGTGGTCTGGCACTTTGCATAGTTACATTCTCCTTCCTTCAAATTGTACCTTTATTTTACAAGTTAGATGTTTGACTTACACGAACAATCAATAGTTTTTGCACAAACCGAGATGTTCTACATTTGCATGTCACTCACTTAACATTTACTAAAAATACACTCCATTTGCTGATGAATACATTTACAGTATGTTAACCATTTGAGTACCTTTTGTTAGCAAGAAAATGTCATACCTTTGTTTCATCAAAGTCACCTCCTCTAGCAGTTATAACAGCAGAGAAAATTTGAGGCATTCTTTCCACAAGAGACATTAAATACTGCTCTATTTCATGGGATGAAACGGTTTAGAGCATTTAAAGTTAAAGGACAGCCTAGAATGTGACTCTGCCATAACCACACAACCAGTTAATATGTCAGACACGCACTGTTACATTATCTTTCCATGTTATAAAGGAAACTTGTTTTATTTGACTTATATTCACTCAATTTTCCAGTGCTTAAGAATAAGAAATCTGCAGTTTATGATTGCAGTTTTGACTGGTCGTGTAGATTAAAAGTAAACTTTTGGGCTGGGTTTTCCATTTTTAAAATGTTTTGATGTTACCGTAACTCTTTTTGTAAGTATTAATAATGACGGATTACTTGTTTATAAGTGTGGTGTAGGACCCTCCCTTCGGTAGGTTTCTTCCCCCACGTCCTGCCCTGACCACACGATGGCGCCCTGCCCTGACCGCACGATGGCTTATGCTTCTCCCCCAGCTGAAGCGCCTCGGCTCGGTGGTGGGGTTTGGAGGGGGGCGGGCCCAGCTGCTGGAGGGGGGCGCTCTGCCCGTCGGCCTGCTGGAGTCTGCGCAGAGCTGCTTGGTCGACGTGTCGACAGGCAGCTCCCAGGTCCCGCAGGCAGAGGCCGAGGTGCAGTGGAGCGACTCGGTGACTCGCATCCTGCAGAGGTACGCAGGCCGCTCAGGGCTCCGGTCGCTCCTCTGATGATTCTCGTGCTTACAGATATCGTCACTTTGCGATGGTGCGCAGTGAATGTTCACTTAGTGTTCTTGTTCAGTGGCCTTGTGCTGTGATCTGCTCCAGGCTACATCAGTTAAATTACTAACAGCAAAAACTGATCTGTACCCGAGCTGTACCTCAGACTTAAGGTTATCCATTGTAAATTACCCGAGCCGTACCTCAGACTTAAGGTTATCCATTGTAAATTACCCGAGCTGTACCTCAGACTTAAGGTTATCCATTGTAAATTACCCGAGCTGTGCCCATGCTGACGTGTGTGTGAGTGTGTGTGTGTATGACGACTGTCATGAATATAAATGTATTTCTGTTTGTATTAGTTAAGTAGATGATTTTCGTCAGACACACGACGATAAGTATTTTTGCAGGAATATAAACATGTATTAGAGATTCATTATGGTGCGTCAGTTAGCCGCGTGCAGACGTGTCAGAGATGATTTTGAGCACCGCTGTTCTCCAGGAAGGGCCTTCGGCTGATCGCGGAGTCCGAGATCGGACTGGCCGCCATCTACGGCTCCACCAAACTGTACTGCAATCCGTCGGCCCCCCTGACACCTGGTGGGTGTGCGGCTGCCGCAGATGTTTTAGGGGCAGTAAATTAAGGAGTATGTGCTGAAGGATGGTAGCGGTAACCTTACACCTTTACAATCGTACTTGTTGCATGTTTCCTACGCCGCTAGTCGCTGACACATTTTAGACCCAGTTCTCGTTGGTGACTTTGAAGCAGGCAGTGATTGACAGCTCATGAAAATCTCACCCACTTTGGGTAATCAAGGCTGGGGTGACCTGATAATCTGTATCAGGGAGAATAGGGTTAGTAAGCTACCATTTTAGTTAAAAGGACCCGAATTTCACTTTAGCGCTGAGCTCTTGCTGTGTGCTGATTGGTCAGTCTCCTATAATCATGCACGTGTCACTAATGTTAATGTGAAACAGCTGGATGAGTCTTTCAGTCAAGGAAACAAGCCAGTCAAAGCACACGAACTGAACTATTTTAGCCAAACACAGGAGCCTTTCAGTTATAAACTAGTTTGTAAAACTTGAAGTAGCTCAAAGTGTCCACCCTGACATGGATTATCTGGTCACCCTAATGCTGCCACCTTCAGTAAGGGACTGGTTTGTTTTCCTAAGACTTGTAATACCAAAGCCAGCCACAGGGGGAGCCCTAAGGCAGTTTTGCAGTTCAGATCAGGTGATGCTGAAACAGGAAGCAGCCTGTGTTCTGTGGTGACTCATGTCTGTTGCTGCATTGGTCCCGTCGCACAGAAACGGCTGAAGTGAGACCCCCCATCCCAGGTGGGTCGCTAACTCAGAGCGCCGCCGTGGATGAAACCGTGCTTCCGGCGGCTTCTCAGAACATCACGGCGTATGCCCCTGACACTGAGACCACACAGGGCTTCAGCAGGTACGCTGCCGACCGCACTGTGGGTGCGTGGAGCCCTATCGAGGAGCCCCCTAAGCCTTCATGCTCATTGTGTGGCCAGGTGGGCCGCTGTCATCAAGGTCCTCTACTGTCCCCAGGGTCCTCTACTGTCACCAGGATCCTCTACTGTCTGCTCTCCCTCCCTGCAGGATGGACACCAGCGGACCCAGTGCAGTGCGTGAAACTCCAGAGAAGGATCGACGGCAGAGCTCCGTCGTGGTGAGCAAGGCAGCCAACTCGCATACAGGAACAGAGGTGCCGATGTCATCACATGCCACAGGGGCCAAAAGTAGGAGTGAGAGGCCTGTCCTCGGAACCACTGCCGACAGCCGTCTGATGCTAAAGCCCCCCCCCTCCGGGATCCAGCACAAATCCCCCCAGAAACAGGCCAATTCTCTTACCGACTACTTCAAACCTCTCAGCAAGAAGAGGTAAGTACCACGATGACCCTGGACTCGTTTGGGTCTCCTTGATCTATTCAGATTTGCTCCCTACTGAGTGTAAGCGGTGTCACGTGGATTAGTGACGTTTGTGTGGCTCAAGCTGGCTTGGCCTCTCTGTGCCCCATGTTAGAATTCGGGAGGAGGGAGATTCTCCTCACCAGTCCGAAGCTAAGCAGTCCAGGCAAGAGCAGGAGGGACAGGAGGAGGTGATGGAGGTGGAGAGGAGTGCCGGGCAGCCTCCAGCACCCGAGCCCTCTGTCTGCACACCTGCATCCCGCGGAGAGGGGGGCAAACTGGGTCAGGACTCAGACGCAGACCTGGACCATTCGCCTGGGCCCTCCAGCCACAGGCCAGCAGTGGGCAGGAGGAAGGAGATACCCGTGACCGACCTGACGGGAGGCTGTAGCTCAGAGGTGGACATAGAGGAGTTGGAATCAATCATGTCGACACCGATGGACGAAAACGACCTGCAGGATGTTCCCAGCAAGAGGGCCCGTCTGGACCCTGTGCGTCACATCAAAGAGGAGGAGCAGTCCTTCGTGGAGGTGAGATGGGAGTTCAGTATGCCTCTTAAGGGGAGTGAGTAGCCTTGTGCTCAGGAACCCGGACTGGTCAGTGGCAGGTTACTGGTGTGAATCCCAGCTGGGTGCAAAATGGTTCCCTCTGTGTTAATTCACATGCTACTTGCTTTCTAAATAATTCATTTGATATTATTATTAGAAATAAGTCAGAAGCATTGAATGGGCTGTTGCTGCATTCCTGTGTGTGTGTGTCAGTTGATAAAATACAACAGAATAAGTCCCTTTGTGTGCTTCGCCTCAGTGGGCCTCATATGCTTCTGAGACACAGTGTAATGAGACTTAGCCTGGCCTCCCCTGCTCTAAGGCCACCAGAGCGGACAGCGCAGGCGTCCCCGAGAAGCCGGAAGCCGAGGCTCAGCCCAGAGCCGCCCCAGTGAAGTCGGAACTTGCAGTGAGTCCCGAAACTCCCTCGTTCATGTCTCCCGGCGCCGCTGTTATCTCTGGGTTTATCGCCTCGTCCCGTGCTCCACTTCAGGAGGTGGTGGCTGGCGTTAAGGCCGATAATGGAGAGGATCTCCCCAGAAATCTACTGGTGATCGAGTTCAAGTCCTTGCTGGTGGACAAGCTGCCCAGGCCGCGGACGGAGCGTCAGCAGATCGAGGGGAAGAACTTCAAGAAGTTCAGGAAGGTCTGTCCAGCAGACACGCCTTTGGAACTTCCTGTGCTACAGTACTGCCAACGAGTTCACGTGCATAAACATACACTGCACATGTGTGTAGTGGGTGAGAGGCCATGACTGACTGGGGAGCAGACTGAGCATTCCATGTGACCCTGCCCCCACAGTTCAGTTCAGCCGCTACAGTCAATGTTAAGCAATACAGTCTGACTGACTGTGCTGCCTGTGTAAGTGCCTGATTAATCGCTTGTTTCCCAGGTTCCTGTGCCGGGGTCCTCTGGGCTCCCCAAAATCATCGGGGGCTCTGACCTGGTGGCCCACAACCGGGCGAAGAACTCCGAACTGGAGGAGTGGCTGAGAGCGGCGGCAGAGGTGCGGTGAAGGCATCAGCATGTTCGAATGCTGCGGAAATGTCACATGAAAAAAGAGGAATTGGCATTTTTAAGGTGTGAATCCTCTGCTTTACAGGAGGAAAGTCGGAATGAGAGAGAGGAGGCGCTTGGTGATGACCTGTTCAGGTATGTCTGCGCGAGGCGCTGGGTGATGACCTGTTCAGGTATGTCTGCGCGAGGCGCTGGGTGATGACCTGTTCAGGTATGTCTGCGCGAGGCGCTGGGTGATGACCTGTTCAGGTATGTCTGTGCGAGGCGCTGGGTGATGACCTGTT